ACCACCAGCATCAGCATCGTCATCATCATCATCATCATCATCATCATCATCATCATCATCATCATCATCATCATCATCATCATCATCATCATCATCATCATCGCCATCGCCATTAGTTCCCATTTCCGCACACCCCTCACACGTTTCGTGGCCCCATAGGGAGCTCCACCGAAGGCCCCAGTGGCAGGGTTCGCATGCCGCCCCCACCCCACTTTGGCACACCCCTCACACGTTTCGTGGCCCCATAGGTAGCTCCACCGACGGCCCCAGTGGCAGGGTTCGCATGCCGCCCCCACCCCACTTTGGCACACCCCTCACGCATTTCGTGGCCCCATAGGTAGCTCCACCGAAGGCCCCAGTGGCAGGGTTCGCATGCCGCCCCCACCTCACTTTGGCACACCCCTCACGCGTTTCGTGGCCCCATAGGTAGCTCCACCGAAGGCCCCAGTGGCAGGGTTCGCATGCCGCCCCCGCCCCACTTTGGCACACCCCTCACACGTTTCGTGGCCTCATAGGGAGCTCCACCGAAGGCCCCAGTGGCAGGGTTCGCATGCCGCCCCCATCTCACTTTGGCACACCCCTCACACGTTTCGTGGCCCCATAGGGAGCTCCACCGACGGCCCCAGTGGCAGGGTTCGCATGCCGCCCCCACCCCACTTTGGCACACCCCTCACGCATTTCGTGGCCCCATAGGGTGCTCTACCGAAGGCCCCCGTGGCAGGGTTCGCATGCCGCCCCCACCCACTTTTGCACACCCCTCACACGTTTCGTGGCCCCATTGGGAGTTCCACCGACGGCCCCAGTGGCAGGGTTCGCATGCGTCCGCGCCACCCATGTCGACACACCCTTGACACGTTTCGTGGCCCCATAATGAGCTCCACCGAAGGCCCCAGTGGCAGAGTTGGCATGCCGCCCCTCGCCCATTTCGGCCCACCCCTCACACGTTTCGTGGCCCCATAGGGAGCTCCACCGAAGGGGCTCCAGTGGTTGCGTTCGCATGCGCCCCAGCATATTCTTCGGAGCTGCGGCCAGCCCTCCCCCCGAGCCCCCAGGCGTTCTGCCAGAGACACCTGCCGCTCTGTCAAAGACACCCGCCGGCGCGACAAGACCCAGACAGCGTGCAAGGACACGCATTGGCGAAGATAACCGCGCTTTGTCGTCGCCGTCTCTGTCGTGATCTCTCTTGCTCTGTCTGTGGCCGGCCCATTAACTCTATTAGTTTATATTCACCTTGCAATGGCCCCCAAGAGAGCTCGTCCCTAAAGGCGCTCTGCCAGAGACACCTGCCAGAGACACCTGCCGCTCTGTCAAAGACACCCGCCGGCGCGACCTTCTCTCGGTCCGCAGCCGGACCTTCTCTCGGTCCTGTGGACTCTCGCCCTGGGCCGTCGACTGTCCAGCGCACTGCTCCCCCGGCCGACGCCGCCCAGGCGTGATCCTGGACTGCGGCCGCCACGAGGTCGGGAACGGCAAGAAGGACGACGACGACTGGTGGCTGGAGCTCTACGTGCTGCTCTCACGCGCCACGGGGACCTCTTGCTCATGCGGGCGCCGCGTATCGAGTTCTTCCTGGCAGGGCCGCCGGCGGGCTTGCGGAAGCAGCTGGAGCAGTTTGCGACGCGCACGAAGCGGTGCAGGAGGGAGGCGACGGCCCTCGCCAAGGAGCTGGGCTTCACCGAGTTTATCCGCGAGGCCTGACGTGGGCAGCCCCGCGCGAGCCAGCGGCGCGCGCTGGCTGTCGCTGACGCTTGGATGACCCCAGCTCGTCGTCGGGATTTCTCGCCAGAGGGCGACCGGCGTCTGTCGGGGAATTTCATCCAGATCGCGCCCTCTTCGCGTCGCTTTACCGCGCAGTACGGCAGCGCATCTTTTTGCTCTGACAAGCAGTGGACGACCCCCGCGCGTCGATGGGACTCCCTCGGGATGACCAGACCGCGTCGGCGGGGGCTCCCCAGCCACTTTCGCGCGGCGCCGCCTGCGCGGTGCACTCTGCGTGGCTCGCTATCGTCCCGGAGGCAAACATGTCACCCCTCGTCTCTCGCTCGTCCTGCTTCCCTTCGCTTCTTGACCGCGCGCCCCCCAGTCTCGTTTCTGCCGCTGCTGAGCTGCCCCTGACATTCGCGCGGCTTCTCCGTGACGTTTTTCCTGCGTGCCCAGTAACAGGTCTCGCGAAGCCGCTCAGGCTCGACCCTGTCAAAGGCAGTCAGAAGGCCCCCCACCTCGGGCGTGGCGGTTGCTACGGAGCTTGCTGCCAGGATGGCCGCTGCCGCGCATTGGGAGCACATGTCGTTCCTGATCAATGACGGGGCAGCCTTCCTGTTTTCGGCAGTTGACCACTCCGCCAAGGTGGTGAGGCCGCCGCCATCTTGCGCTGCATTCACACGGGTTGCTGTGGGAGAGCAACACGTCGCATTACTCAGCGCCGATGGAGAAGTGCACATCTACTCCGTCACCCTGGCGATATCTGGAAAGGATGTCGCACAGCTACTCGGCGTCGTTCGCGACGACTACCTCCACTTCACGCAGATCGCTGCCGGGGCGCACTTCACGGCGATGTTGCGATGCGACGGCGTGATCTTCGCATACGAGGACGAGCGCCTCAGTCCCCTTAGTATCAGCGAGGGAGTGGTGGACTTCCTAATCGCGGCCTGGGGCGATGCAATCGGGATCCTTAGCGACGGCATCTTGCAGATCATCCATCCGCAGGGCGAGGAGATCTGCGAGTGGGAGGTCCATCGGACCATCGTGCAAATCAGCATGTCAAATCACGTGGTCTTACTGGGTGACGACGGCACTGCCCACGCTTTGGGCAGGAACGACGCGGGCCAGTGCGACCTACCCGATCTCCAGGATAACGTGAAGTTCACGGAGGTCGCAGCCGGGTGGAAGCACTCGGTGCTGCTGCGCAGCGATGGGACTGCAGCAGCTTGCGGCAGCAATGACTGGGGGCAGTGCAACATCCCACCTCTGAGCGAGGGCGTCACCTACACGCGTGTCGCGGCCGGGGCGAAGTATACCATTTGCAACACAAGTGACGGGAACATTGTGGTTTGTGGATTGTCCGCGAACAGCCAGGACATCGCATGTCGTGCCCCGGGCCCGGGCACCGCCTTCGCTGCTGCGGCGCCGCCCTCGATGCCGCTGCAGGCGACGCTGGCGGACCTCGCAATGATATTCCGGACAGTGGGCGGCGAGGGGTGCTGGAGGGCCTCAGTCTCATCCGAAACTACGCTGAAGACGATTTGGCGCGATCTGAAACTGGCTTGGAAAGAGGGCCAGTTCGGGCGTGGCGCCAGGAGAGTCGACGCAGTCCTGCCGGGGGGCCGGCTGCTCACATGCGCCTGCGCGAAGGGCGACACCGTCTCGAGCGTTTTCTGCGCTCCAGAAATGGTCGCCGACCAGGTTCGCGACGCGCGCGAACCAGCGCAAGGGAAGGCGAGGTAACTGTCAAAGGGAGCCGGGCTCCAGCGAGTTCATCCGCAAGGCCTGATCTGAGGGGCCGCCGTGGCGGCTGGCGCTCTGGCTGTCGCAGACGCTTGGATGACCCCAGCTCGTCGTCGGAATCTCTCGCCAGAGGATGACCGGCGTCTGTCGGGGAGATTCCACCCAGATCGTGCCCTTTTCGCCTCGCTTCGCCGCGCAGTACGGGGGCGCCACGCGTTTACTCTGAGTCGCAGTGGACGACCCCCGCGCGTCGATGGGGCCCCCTCGGGATGACCAGACCGCGTCGGCGGGGACTCCCATCCCACTTTCGCGCGGCGCCGCCTGCGCGGTGCACTCTGCGTGGCTCGCCATCGGCTCGGAGGCAAACATGTCACCCCTCGTCTGTCGCTCGTTCTGCTGCCTTCGCTTCGTTTCTGCCCCTCTTGCCTCTGGCATCTACGCGGTGTCTCCGTAACTTTTCCTGCGTGTTCCGTAACAGGTCCCAAGATGCGTTGATGCTGATGCGGTGGCTCGCCCCGCTTAGCCCCCCTCCTCCGCCAGCCACTTCCTGCCCGCGCTGCCCTGTGCCTCGTCCATGCAGTGGCGCGGCGCCTGTGAGAAGATGGGGCATGCCTTGCGCTACTCGTAGCTTGCGTGCCCCCCCTCCCTCATCTCATATCCTGCGCGGTACTCGCAGCTGCATGTGGTTGGGTCCTTCGCCAGGCTAATTTTGTATTCCTCGTTCTCCCGATCGGCGCGGGCCTTCGCACCCCCCCCCTTCCCCCCCGTGGAGTGGGTCTGGGCTGTTTTTGTTGGCGCCTGTTTCGAGCAGGTGGAGCCTCCCCCAAAGGACGCGCTGTTCCAAACACCTCCCCCCCCCTTCTTTCCAATGTCGAAACGCCGAGTAAACAAAGAACGCTCACAGTTCGGGGGTTGACAGAACCCCCACCCTGACACGTCGATAAGTCGATCAGTGACTTGTCCGTTCTCGGTATTTCTGTCCGTCCCCGAATCTTCATGATTCGGCGGCGAGCGAGGGGGAGAAGCGAGAGGGAGAAGGCATTCTCAGAAGGCTCGGAAGTCCTCTGGCCTTCTGAGAAGTTTTCTAAGCTTTCCCCGAAAACGACAAAATCTCGGAAGGCGCGAGGGCTTTGAGAAGTCCCGCCGCCTTCTGAGAAGACGTTCTCCTCCTCACTTCCCCCCCTCGCTCGCCGCCAAATGATGCACCACAAACGTCCGTTGTGTTTGCCCACGCGTCGGAGGGCGACTCCTCGTGCCTCCCCCCGAAGGCCAAGAGCCATGGGCATGCGTGTTGGCGAAGATCTCGGGGGGCGTCCGGCCGCTTCCAAGAGGGGACCCGAGGGGAGGAGGGCACGCGCGGGCCAAACGCGCCGAGCAACCTCAATCCTCACGCTCAATTCGAGCCTCTCCCCCCCCTCTCTTTTTCCTCCTCCTTCTCCTCCTCCTCCTCCTCCTCCTCCTCCTCCTCCTCCTCCTCCTCCTCCTCCTCCTCCTCCTCGCCTCCCCCTGCTCCCCCCCCCAGTGAGGGAGGAGGGCCGGTGTGGACCACCCCGAAGGCAGCGTGCATCGGGCCGCCTCCTGGGCTGGAGCCGCCCGCAGTGCGGCCCCCTGGCGCATGGGGATGGCCTGCCGCCGCCGCGCGCGACGAGCCCATGAAGGTCCTCGGCGCGCGCAAGTGAGCCGAGGGCTCTCCGCGGCCCCCGTCGGGTCGCACGGCCCTGCTCCTCCTCCTCTTCCTCCTCCTCCTCCTCCCCTCCCTCCCTCCTCCCTCCCTCCCTCCCTCCCTCCCTCCCTCCTCCCTCCTCTCTCCTCCCTCGGGCCCCCTATCGGGTCGCTCGGACGGCAGGCTGTGCGATGGTTGTCGGTCTCTCGCTGCACCCCCTCGGGGGCTGGAAGCCTAGTCCATGGGGACGGGGTCGAGACCTGCAAAGGTTCACGCCTGGAAGGAAGCACGAGTGGCATGGGGGGTCTGGGATGGATGATCGATGATCGGGACATGAGGATCGAGGGCTCCAGGGATGAGTCCCGCGGGGACCGCCAGAGTCTCCGTAGAGACCTTCGGGGAGGAGGAGGGGGGCGCCTCCTCCCTCCTCTCACACGTCCCTTTTCAGAGTCCTCCTTGTCCTCCTCCTCACCTCTTCTCTTCTCTGTCCTCCTCTCTCATCCTGCCTCTCTCATCGCACCATCTCTTCTCACATCCTCACTTCCTTCCTCCCTCCTCGATATCATCCTCCCTCCCCGCTTCTCTGTCAGCCTCCTCCTGCCTCCCTCTTCCATCCCAATCACCCCTCCACTCCTCACTCCCACGTCTCCATCCGCCTGCCCTGACATCTCATCCTCCCCACCTCCTCTCCGTTTCTCTGCCCGATCGTTCCCGCCCCTGCTCCATCCTCATATGTCCGCCTCCTGCATTCAGAGCCCTTCTGCATCCTCCTCCTCCTCCTCCTCCTCCTCCTCCTCCTCCTCCACATTCGGCCTCTTCCTCCTCGCTCTCCTCCCTTCCTTCTCATCCCTCCTTCATCCTCGCTGCCGCCCGTCCGTTCCCATCATCTCTTCCTCTCCCCTCGTCTTCCTCCCCTCATATTCCTCCTCCTCCTCCTGCTCTTCGTCTTTGTGCTCCCATCTTTCTCACCCTCCCTCCCCTCATGTTCCTCTTCCCTGTCCTCCTCCTCCTCCTCCTTCTCCTCCTCCACCTCCTCCCCCTCCTCCTCCTCTCCTCTTCTTCCTCCTCCTTCCTTCCTCTCCCTCCTCCTCCTCCTCTTCTTCCTTCTCCCTCCTCCTCTTCCTTCCTGCTCTCCTCCTCCTCCTCCTCCTCCTCCTCCTCCTCCTCCCCCTCCCCCTCCTCCTCCACTTCCTTCTCCTCTCCCTCTTCGTCCCCCCTCCATCGTTCCCCTCGTCCCCGCAGCGGTGTTGGCTCAAACGTGGGCTGGCTGGCCTGCGGGAGGCCTGCGCTCGTCGCGGGGCGTTCCGCGGGGGGGGCGCCTGCGCGGGGTGGCCGCCGCCGCCGTGGTGCAGCGGCAACGCTTGGGCTGCGGTGAGCGCTCGCACCTGTGACTCGGAGCCCTAGGACGCCGAGGCGGTCGGCCAGGAGCTCAAAGTGTAGGAGATGTTGGTGTACGGCTTGGCCAGGGCGAGGCCGCGCAGGACTTCAGGTTGGACTGACCCGGGTCAGGACTGACCCGGGTCAGAAGTTTCCCGATGGAGGTTGGCACTGGGTGCCGCCCCGCCCCGTCGCCAGGGGCTGCTGGCGCTAAAGTTGAGTCGGGCCTGTCCCTCTACAGGGGGAATACTCAAAAATAGTCAAAACATAGTCCGGCGACTGTTCTTTATTCTTCGTCGAAATTCCCCCTTGCAGGGGGACACGCCCGACGTAAGGTTGGCAGTGGGTGTCGCCCCCCCCCGTCGCCAGGGGCTGCTGGCGCCAAAGCCGACGCCCGTGGGGGCTCCAGGCAGCGGCGGTGGGCCGCCTGCGTGCCGGGCGCCGCCGGGCCTCGCCGCGCGGCCGCGGCGCCGCTCGTTGGGGGGCAGGAGCGCCGTGGGCTGCAAGGCGGAAGAGCTCGTGAACACGCAGGGGGCCACATGCGAGCCCTACCCCTACCATCCACGATTTCTGAGGGGGAGGGCGGGGTTCACTCCTCCTCTTCCTCCTCCTCCTTCTCCTCTTCCTCTTCCTCCTCCTCCTCAGAAATCGTGGGGGGTAGGGGTAGGGTTCGCATGCGGCCCCCTATCGTGAACGCGCTCTTGTGCCGGCTCGGCCAGGGCGAGGCCGCGCAGGACTTGGAGGAGATCTCGGAGCCCGCGGACGCCGAGGCGGCCGATGAGGAGCTCAAGGATAATGAGATGCTGGTGCGCGAGGTGGGCGTCGTGGACTCCGCCCTGACGCAGGGTGCCGACTACAGAGGATGCCCATGCCTTTGCCTCCAGGGTGCCCCGGGTTTCTTGGGTTTAGAGGTTTTGCGGCGAAGAGCGCGACGTTCCCACACCAAAAATCCGTGGAAGCCATGGTGTCTCAGGGTTGGGTTTCTTGTGGAAGGTTTCTTGTGGACTGGCCTACATTGTACGAGCGTGTTCGTGGTGTTGATCCTGCCGCTGATTGCGATGGCGGCGCCACGGCCTGGCAGGGGCACTCGGAGCCCAAGCACGCCGAGGCGGTCGGCCAGGAACTCAAAGTGCAGGAGATGTTGGTGTACGGGGTGGATGCCGTGAACTCAGCATTGCCGCACGCTGCTGACGTCGGTCAGCGTGTTCGTGGTGATGATCCCGCTGCCGGTTGCGATCGGCCGGGAGATCCAGGCTGAGAAGTTGGTGGTGCACGAGGTGGATGTCGTGGACCCCGTCTTGCCGCAGGTTGCCGACGACGATCGCACCCTGTTGATCCTTACGCCACTTTCGTCTGGCTTCTCGGCGCGAAGACCTCGATTACAGATGTAACTAGTCGCTCTGATGTCGGCGTCACCCGTGTGCGTCACCCCTCCAGGGGCGGCGCGCACACCGAGAAATCTTACAGTATACAGTATATTCGTCGTGGCGGGCGCTCCTTCCCAAGGGATCCCCCTCGTCCATCCATCACTCAAAGAAAGAAAAACGTAAACGTAAACGTTAGGCGCTCCGCCCGGATTTCTTGGATCCGCGCTGGACCTCCCTGACGGTGCCTCCGGCTCCGCCCCTGGCGCGGTCCGCGCGCTAGGGAGGGGAACCAGCGCCGATTCAAGAAATTCGCGCGGAACGCCAAAAGGTTTTGTTTGTGACGTGTATGTTTCTTGTTCTTCTTCTTCTTCTTCTTCTTCTTCGTCTTCGTCTTCCAATCACCCCCTCTCCCCTCCCCGCCCACAAACTGCTGTTACTGCTGCGCCGCCTCCCCTCCCCCCGCCCCCCCCCTTCCCTGCGGGGCAGACGGGGGATGTCGGGTCCGCTGGCGTGCACGGGCTGGTGGCCCCCGCGCCGAGGTGTCGATCCTCGCGAGCGCGCCCCCCGCGATGGAGCTCACGTCGCCGCCGCAGCACCACGGGCAGCAGCAGCCTCTGCAGGGGCGGCCAGGGGTGGTTTCCAAGGGAGGGGGCCCGAGGCTCGGGTCTGCTTTCCCCTCCTCCTCCTCCTCCTCCTCCTCCTCCTCCTCCTCCTCGTCTTCCTCCTTCCGGAGCCATTTTGGCTCAAGAGTTCCTGGGACCCGCGCTCCCGATGTTGCCGCGTGCTCCCGCCGCGAGCGGGCTTCCTCGCCATGGCGCCCGCTGGATGCTGACGCACCTCTGCATCGCGTTTTTCTGCTACCTTGGAGTGGGACTTCATCTACCTGCTCGTTCTTCCTCCCCACCGTGCGCGTGGGCTACACGCGGTATGACTGGTTGCCGCTCTTACGTACAGGCGCTCACCCAGCAGCGCTCGCTCACAGCCGAACAAGAACGACGACGCCTTCGTGACGCTCATCATCGTGCTGTCCACTCCGGCCCGGGTCGCCGCTTCGTGGGGTGCGCCGCCGAGGACCACACCGCGGTCAAGGCGATGGCTCGAGGCAAAGAGTTTCACCGCTGCCTGGACTGGAAGCGCGGCGAGTCCACAACGTCGGGCAAGATCTCCGCCTACCGCTCGTGGAAGCTGGGCGTGCTGGCCAGACCGACTACAAGTCCGCGAGGTGCCTTCTCGAGCGCGCTGACCACGCCAAGCACTACCACCCCGCAGTGCCAACAGCAACAACACGTTCGGCATGGGGAGCCCTACGTGACTATGATGACCTCGGAGGTGGTGCCCCTCCGCCCGACGCTCACCCTGACCCGCGTCCTGCAGCTGCACATGGGGGCGCTGTCTTGCACAACGCTGACAAGAATAACAACACGCCTGCGAAGCGCATCCTCTGGGCCGACAGCTTCGACGAGCACTTCCCCGAACTCAACTCCGGCTCCACAGTCGCGTCCACGCACCAGGTCGTCTCCACAGATCCGGCCTTTGCTTCCTTGTCGTCGGGGTGCTCACGCCGCTCTGGCTCAAGACTGTTGTCGCACGGTTCGCCCTCCTCACTTGCTACGTGCGACGCCTGGACGGACGACGAGGCCAATTACACACGCAAGAATTCGCTGAGCTCCATTGTCACGGACAAAGTGCGGAGCGCCGAGCGCGCGATGGCCAAGCAGATTGATGAAAAGATCCACGGCACCATGCGCTCCCTCGTCACGCGCACCGAGCTGGACGAATCCATCCTGGCACCCGCGCAGTCGCTCACGGCGAAGATCGACGAGACCCTCTCCGAGGTCACGAATACGTTCGTTACGCTCGAGCTGCTCGCGGCGCAGCTCTCCAACATGACCAAGATGCTCCTGGACAACGGCGCGGAAGCTCTGAAGACCATCGCCGTCAACACGAACGCGATGTTTGCGACCGCCCACTCGTCCATTGCCGCAGCGCACAAGAGCATCAACGTGATGGAAACGGACATTGATCGGCTCAAGTCTCTGCGGCAGTCGGACAACAACACGGAAGCCATGATGACCATCACCGACACCATAAAGTCTTTCGCTGCAGCGCGCAACCGCATGAATCATATGGAAATGGACCTCAGCCGCCTCAGGTTTCAGTGGCAGTCGGACCTCACGGAGTACAGCGACCAGTACCACGACAACTTCGATGAAATCGAGCTGCGGGTTGCCTCTCTGGAGGTCCACCGCGCGAACCTCGCAGACAGGAACTGCGAGACCTCCCTGGGCCCGCCGCATCCCCTGAACAGCGATTTCGATGATCTCATTGCAGGCATCCAGTCCGACAGCTGCGTCGGCGAGTTCTCGAGGCTGCTGGACACGTACGCCTTCACATCCAAGCCATTGCCGTACATGTTCGGGCCCATCGCGGAACATGTGGGCTCCGTGGCAGCTGCGATGCCGTCAGCACCGCCGTCTTCATCATCATATCCGAGCTCAGCTCCTCGGAGAGCTTCTCAATCATCAACGAGTACTGCTACTTGGAGCGCGTCTACGAGTCTAGCCACTTGGACCGCGTCTCCGACTGACTTCCGATAGACGCGCGGCGGGTGCGGGCGTGTGAGCGAACTCTTCGCCCTCTTCTCGTTTCTTGTCCGCTTGCCCTCTACGCGTGCATCCTTGGGTACCCCGACTTTTCGTCCTCTTCCTCTCTCCCCTCCTCCTTTTCCTCCTCCTCCCCCTTTCAGAGTCTCACGAAAGAGTGGCCTTTCGCCTGAGTGGCCTTTGGTGCAGGCCCACTGGCCGCAGCGATCGCTGGATGCGATGCGATGGTAGCGGCTTGCGCGCCTGGGTAGACCCCTATCCGTGCTCCGCAAATTGAGCGACGCAACGAAAGCAAGGCCGTCTGCGCCGACATCGGCGGGTAAGCTCCCCGCAGAAGGTCGCGCGCGAGCGCCCGCGTCTCCAATGCATCGTGCCGCGTCGGCGGCCCGCGTCAGCCAACGCGTGAGGTCGCTACGTCATCTCTCGCATGACCCGTTTTTGATCGTCGCCCAATTGGCTACTCGGGGTAATAAGAGCCTGCTGCTCCGTATATTGGGTACACGGAGTGATACGAGCCTACTGTTCCATGCACCTCGGCGCCAGGGAACATCGCTCGGCCACTGTCACATGGTTTTTGTTATTGAAGTACCCCCCCCCCCGGGGCTCGCACCCTTTGTTTGTCACGGGGGGGCATCATGCTCAAACTGTATTGTTCGCCCCGTGGCTACAACAACAACAACAACAACGGCTCCGGGCAGATAGTTCCTTGCAGTGTATTCCGCTCTCGAGTGGGATTTCCTCACACATAATGCAGGAATCGCGGTCTCGCTTGGGACGCCCTCGTAATTGATTGTGACGCCGCGCCCTCGACACTCAGGAATCACGCTCTCGCTGCGGGCACTTGGCGCACCTGGTGCGAGTGGCGCACTTGGCACACGTGGCGTTGCATCTCCGGGGGCCCTCGCCGTCCCTAAAATTGTTGTCTTGTCTTGTGCCCGACGCGGGCCCGACGCGGACGCGATAGGGCCGCGACTTGACAGACAAGGCCTTCCGAAGATGCAACAGAAGGGTGGCCCAAGATCAGCCACGCGCAGAGGGGGGCAGGCTTGACATCGCTCGGGCGTGTGCATGTTTCTCGGCGACGACCGGCGAAGAGCATCTGGGAACACCGTGCGAACATGTACGCACGCGAAATCGAAAAATGCACAGTGAATGGACGTCCGAGCGATGTCGAGCAGAGGGAGGGGGGAAGGCTTCCTAGAAGCTCCCCTGCTTCTCAGACGGCGCGGGCCTTGTTTGTGGACTCAAGGCGGGCGCCCTCCGAGAAACAGCCTCCTTCAAAGAGGCCTTTCCCCCCCGCTTTCCCTGCCCCCCCTCTGTGCGCGCCGCCAACGGGGAGCGGCCGCGGGATGCGAACCGACCTCGGCCCTGCGGCCGGCAAGGCTGGGCTCATCGGGCTTGGGGCTCCCGGTGCTGCTCTCGGGGCATGCGGGCGGGCGGCGAGTGCCCGTCCCGGCCCCCCTTGTTCCTCCTGGTGCTCTTCCTCCGCTTGCTTCTCTTCACCTCAGGATGCTCCAACCTACTTTAGCTTCGATTACCCAGAAGAATCTCGAGCGCCAGAAAAAGTACCGAACTTCAAGGGTTTTTCGTGTCGGGCCCTGGGAGACACTCGCCCGACACTGTTCGACAGAGTTTAAGTCGCCCATTGCTAATAATTACCTTGATGGCATTGTGTTTTGTTCGATCCAGTTGGACCTTCGGCCCGACACCGTTTCGCCGCCGCCGCCGTTGCTCTTTCTTAGGGGACCGAAAAATAACACAAACATAAAAACTCGGAGGTCCGCGCGGATTTTTTGGATCCGCGCTGGACCCCCCTCCCTGGCGCGCGGAGCGCGCCAGGGTTTGCGCCGGAGGCGCCGCCAGGGGACTTCAGCGCGGATCCGAGACATCCGCGCGGACCTCCGAGTTTTTATGTTTATGTCTTTTTTCGTTTCCCTATTTCTCCTCCTCCGCTTCCTCGAGGGTGCCTTTCTTGGCCTGCCAGTGCCGCTGCGCGCGGGGAGGGTTGCCGTGTCGGGTAGGTTGTTCCACCGCTTCTCCCCCCTCCTTCGCGCGGGGGACGGGTTTTAGGTAGGGTTCAGGCGGGCCTGTCCTCTACAGGGGGAATATTCAAAAATGGTCCAAAAATAGTCGTGGCACGATGTTTTCACTATTTTTGAGTATCGTTTTGCATGTTCTGCATTCTTCTTTCATTTTTCGTCCAAGATCCGCCTGCAGGGGGGCACGCCCGACTGAAAGGTGGGGGGCTGGGGGGCGGGACAAGAGCACGACTCGGCACTCAGGGACCGCCCCCCCCCCCCCCCCCCCCTGGGCCGACTGCCTCAGTCCACTTCTCGGGCGGGACGAGAGGGGGGGATAGGGCAAGGGGGGGGTTGCGAAATCTGCTGCATGCAGCTGGTCTCGGCCCCACCGAGGGGCCCATTCCTCGATATATGGGCGCCTCCCGCGGGCTGATTCTCAGACCCCCCCTTTGCTATCCCCCCCTTTCGCCCGACCCGAACCTCGGGCTCCTCCCTCCGCGGCGCGGCCGAGACACGACGGCCGACCCTGCGCGAGCGCCCCCGCCCCACAGAGAGAGTCTGCGTCTGAGCTCCTCGCGCTGGGCCCCCGAGGGCGCCAGCCCACGGGCTCCGATCCTGGCCCGGCCAGGCCTCTCCCTGGGCACACGACTGGTGCGCTCGTTTTCCCCAGGCCCCTGACGTCACTACCTGTAAGTCGGGCATGTGCCTCTACAGGAGGAGCATCCAGACACAACCCTAAAGGTAATCAGGGGGCGAATTCTCGACCGTTTTTGACTATTCATGAGTATGGGCTGACAATTTTTAATTTTTCTTTCAAAATCAGCCTATAGGAAGGAGGATATGCCCGACCTGACAGCACGTCTTCACAGCGTCGACTCCCGGAGAGATCTCGACCCCTTCTCCTGAGCGAGCTTTGTTGACGCTCCCGGGGCCCCGCGATTGCCCCCAGATGCCGAACAGGCCCCCTCCTCCCCAGAAAACACCCGCCGCGCGTTGTTTCAAGGCGCGAGGGGGTTCGGGTTCCTGGTGCCAGGAGGCCCGGATGGGGCCTGACCCGGCTCGGTGCGATCGCGCACGTCGGGTGTTGCTCGATGTGCCCCCGGCCAAGGTGCCCCCCCAGGAGTTCCAGGGAGGCTCCCACGGCCGCCAGAGCACCCTATCACGAGGCTCCCGAGGGCCCTAGGGGCTCCACAGCGGAGCGAGCAGCTGGGGGCACCTTGGGCCAGAGGCATTTTTTCAGGAGGGAGAAAAACACACCGACACACTTAATCGCCGATTCCCCTGAAAATATGCGAAAATATGGGAAGTGGGGGGGAAGACAAAAACCCAGAAAATATTTGAAAATATGGGGAATCATTTTATTTGTGTGTATTTATTTGTGTGTGTGTCCCAGGGCCCCTTCAGTGGCTGGATCCCCCTCTCCGCCCCAGGCGCGATCGGCAGCCGCTCGGGCAGGGGCAGCCTCGGCAGCCGGCGCCAGCGCCGCGGCAGCAGCGCCAATCGAGGAAGCGAGTCATAGGAAACGGCCCGGGGCGGGTGCTTCCGGGTGAATCGGGGGCGGAAAAAGAGGGGGGTGATGACTAGGGGGAGGTGGATATCATGGCGTGGGCCATGATATTTCCCCAGATTTCATGGCACCTCTTCTTGTTTCATTACGTCCCTGGCCCCCAACCTGGGCCGCGCACATGCCGCCGGTCATGATTTGCACCCCCCCCTCTTGGACACCCCCGTCTAGGCCGCTCCCGAGGGTGGGAGGGTGAAGTCGACCTGCCTGTATGAGACCAACATCTCGAGCCTATGCCAAATACATCTGTCGTCTTCTGGCAACGAGGCGTCTATAGCACATCGGGTGCCGTGCCGCGCGAAGGCGCACTCGGGGTGGATCATTGCGTCTATAGACAACACGGCCGTTGCGTTCGGCGCAGTACAAGGTCGGAAGAAAGGTAGATCCGGGTCGGGTTTGTTCCTGTTCTAGAGCAGGTCACACATGGTACTCCAAGCCATGGAGCAGAACCCTGAGATCAGGGCGTTGCAATTTTCTCATTCCGCATGTCTTCGCCACGTTTCGGGCCCTGCGGCCATCACATATCGATCTGGCTCGAACGCTGTCGCAGACAGATGTGGTCTAGGGATCTGGTCGCGATTGCTCGAGATTCCGCAACAGCGCTGGCGCGGCGGCAGCAGCGCAAGTCGAGGAATTTGTTAGAAGGACGCCAAGATCTCCAACACGTCGAAGAATGTAATGGTAGGGTTTTTAGTACAGTGGTGGGCCATGCCAAGACACCCTGCTTGCCTCCAGGGTGCCCTGAATTTCTTGTATTTCGAAGGTTTTGCCACTGAAAGCGTGACGTTCCCACACCACAGATCGATGGACGTCCTGGGGTCTCAGGGTTGGGTTTCTTCTGGAAGATTTCTTATGGTCGGGCCCCTACTGTAGCTTTAAGCATCCGGGGGCGCTCGCCGGGCCCCGGGACCCTCAAACAGTGATTTAGGATGCACAGCCGGCCCCTAAGGCAAGGTTGGGGGCTTCCGGGGACCCCGAGTTGGAAGAATACTGAAGTGGAGGCCCACGCCAAGAAGCACCCTGTTTGCCTCCAGGGTGCCCTGGGTTTCTTGGTTTTGGATGGTTCTGCGATTGAAGGCGTGACGTGTGCCCACACCAAAAATCTAGGGACGTCCTGACGTCTCAGGGTTGGGCTTCTCGTGGAAGGTTTCTTGTGGACTGGCCTCCAGTGTACATCGATTCTCCGGAACGACTAGATGGAAACGGCGGGGGACCGGTGCTCGCGGCCACGGGGCAGGAGGAAGAGGTCACGCCCGTTTCGCATGTTCTTGGCCGTTCTTGGAGGTTTTCTTCGCATCTCGACAAATCGAGCTGGAGTGATCCCGGGAGAAGTTCTGGGACCGGCCTCTACATCGGGTTGTGTCATCATGATGAGAAGGTGGTCCTGAAGAAAAAGGGTGCCGAGTTGTTGTTCCGCGTGTGCGGCCGATTCCTGGCCACCTTCTTCCCAGACACAGCGGCCGACAGAAAACGATTCGGGGTCTCAAGGGCCCGCTCCCCTCAGGAGCCTCGTCTCTCATGCCTGCCCCCCCCCAATAAAAATGGGAAGGGATCGGGTGGAAGAGGAGGCAGGGCGGGACCTAAAAACGCTGTTCTGCTGGACTTCGGCTGTGTTTCGTTTCTCGTTTTGGCAGGGGGGTACAGGAAACCAGGTAGAGCAAAACGAGCAACAAAACGAAAACAAAGCGCAAGCCCTGAGACGAGGAGGACCCTGCAGACATCCCACGTCTTTGTTTGTTCGCGACGCAGGCGCCCGGAGGCCTCTCGACCCCAATCTCAGGACGTCATGCCGCAGCCCCAGGGCCCGCGTCGGGCCTGTCTGCAGGGCCCGGCTTGGCGGAGTCGGCGGGCCTCCCCGGGGGTGGCGCGGGAGCTCGACCCAGAGACACGACGTCTTGACTCGTCAGCACTCGGCCACGCCCGGAGGGGGGCAGGGGGAGGGGGAAGGCCTCTTGGAGGCACTTCTGCTTCTTAGAAGGGGCGCTCCTTGTCTGCAGAGCTTCTTGGCAGCACCCCTGCTGCTCAGAAGGCGCGCTCCTTGCCTGCAGGCGTGAGGCCCGCGCCTGTCAAGAAGCAGCCGCCTTCTAGGAAGCCTTCCCCCCTCTCCCATTCCCCCCCTCTGCGCGCCGCCAGAACACGGGGCCCCCGGCAGTCTCGGCCCCATGCCCCTCGACCCGCTTCTCCACCCCGACGCGCCGATTCCGTCGGCGAAGCAACTCTCGGGCCAGCCGAAACGAGGGGGAAAGAACACACAGACACAATTAATCGTCGATCCCGAGGAAAATATGGGGAAATATGGGAGGTGGGGGTGAAGACAAAAACATAGAAAATATGAAGAAAAAAAAATGAGAATCCTTTTCTTTGTGTGTATTTATGTGTATTTATTTGTGTGTCCCAGGGCCCCTTCAGAAAGGGGGGGATAGGGCAAGGGGGGGTTACGAAGTCTGCTGCGTGCAGCTGGTCTCGGCCCCGCCGAGGGGGCCATTCCTCGATACATGGGCGCCTCCTGGCGCCGGGAAAATCAGCTACGTGGGCTGATTCTCAGCCCCCCCCTTTGCTATCCCCCCCTTTCGCCCGACCCGAAACTCCCTCCGCGCTAGCAAGGGCATCCACCTCTTCGGGCAGCCGGAGTGGCGGCGCGACGCCGAGGAGTATACGAAGGCCCCCCAGGGCCGCCGCAGACGGGGTTTGCACGCGGGCGATGTCACCGAGGGCGGGCCAGACACGACACCTCGGGGCGCAGGCAGGTGATCGTTTCTTCTTTCTTTTTTGCCGATCGGCGCGGGCCCTAGATTCCCCCCCCTCCCCCTCCCCCTGGAGTAGATCTTCGCTGTTTTGGGCGCTTGTTTCAGGCAGGTGGAGTCGCCCACACAGGACGCACTGTTGCGAACAGTCGCAGTAGGCACAGTGGTCCAGAGCCAGACACCCCCCATCCGCCCCCACTTCTGCCCCATGTCGACACGCCGACGAGGAGAACGTTCGCTGTGCTTGTCCATGCGTTGGGCCCCTGGGAAGCTCGAGAGCGGCCGCGCCGCTTCGCGCGAGGGCCGCGTGACGCTCTGCCTTCCGGCCGCAGGAGGCCGCCGCCGCCGGAGCCGCAGGGCCAGGCGGAGCCGCAGGGCCGGGCGGCGCCGTGCCCCGCGGGGAGGCCGCGCGCACCGCCGTCCCGCGCGACGCTCGTGATCGCCTACTTCCCGCGAGCCGCCTCGGACGAGGCCGCGCGCCCGGGCGTCCGAAGCATCCTCTTCCCCCTCCTCCCCCTCCTCCTTCTCCTCCTCCTCCTCCTCCTCCTCCTCATTCGGACTACTACTGCTGCTACTACTACTACTACTACTACTACTACTACTACTATGACTATGACTATGACTACTACTACTACTACTACTACTACTACTACTACGACAATTACGACTACTACAACCTATACGACCACCCTTCGGGTGATAAGGAGGTTCGGGGGGGAGGAACCAACGTCTCACTCGATCGGTCTCACTATCGATCTCACTATCGATCTCAGTATCGGTCTCGCTCGATCGATCTCCCTCGATCGATCTCACAATCGATCTCACACTCGATCTCACTCGATCTATCTCACACTCGATCTCACTCGATCATCATCATCATCCTCATCATCCTCATCATCATCAGCATCATCATCATCATCATCATCAGCATCAACACCAACACCAGCATCAGCATCAGCATCATCAGCAGCATCATCATCAGCATCACCATCATCATCATCATCATCATCATCATCATCATCATCATCATCATCATCATCATCATCATCTCATCATCAACATCATCAACATCATCATCACCGCGGGACACCGGCGGAACACCGCGGGGCACCGCGGGAAACCTCGCGGGACACCGCGGGACACCGGCGGGACACCGCGGGCCACCGGCCGCCCGGAAGGGAGACATTTGGTCCGGCCGCGCCTCAGCCACACGGGACACCAGCGGGACACCGGCGGGACACCGCGGGCCACCGGCCGCCCGGAAGGGAGACAGTTGGTCCGGCCGCGCCTCAGCCACAGGAGACTTTCTTCTCGCCCGCCCACGCAGCTTCGCCTCGCCCGCACGCACGGCACGCACGAACACGAAACCGAAATCGATTTCCCGGTAGGGGGGCTCTCCGTTCCACTTCGATCTCACCCCCTCACCTCCGATTATTACCACTACTACTATTATTACTACTACTACTACTACTACTACTACGACTACTACTACTACTACGACTACGACTACTACTAGTACTAGTACTACTACTACTATTACTACTACTACTACTACTACTACTACTACTACTACTACTACTACTACTACTACTACTACTACTGCGACTACTACTATAGCTACTACTACGACGACGACGACTACTACTACTAGTACGACTACTACTACTACTACTACTACTACTACTACTACGAATGATAGTACGACTATGACTACGACTACTACGACTATGACTAGTACTACTAAGACTACTACTGGGACCACTACTGCTACTACTACTACTACTACCACTACTACTACTACTACTACCACTACTACTACTACTACTACTACTACTACTACTACTACTAGTACGAGTACTAGTACTACTACTACTACTACTACTACTACTACTATTACTACTACTACTACTACTACTAGTACGATTACTACACTAACTCTACGACTAGTACTACTACTACGACTACTACTACTACTACTACTACTACTACTACTACTACTACTAATACTACTTCTACTACTGCTATTTTCTACTACTAAACTACTACTGCTAGTAGTGCTACCCGTATTTCCACTATTACTACCATTACTACGACTACTACTTCTACTCTCTACTACTACTACTACTATTACTACTACTACTATTACTACTACTACTACTAGTACTACTACAACTACTACTACTGCGACTATTCCTACTACTACTACTACTTCTTCTTCTTCCCCTTCTACTAGTACTACTCACTATTTCTACTACTATTACTACTACTACTACTACTACTACTTCTACGAATTCCTTTATTAATGCTACTACGTTTACGATTACGACTACGACCACGACTACTTTTACGACTACTTTTACTACCACTACTATCACTACGGACATTGCTGCTACTACTACTACTACTACTGCTACTATACCACTACTACTACTACTACTACTACTACTACTACTTCTACTACTACTACTAGTACTACTGCTACTGCTACTGCTACGACTACTACTGCCACTGGTATTACGATTACTGCTACGACGAATACTATTACTACCACTACTAACTAGTCCTACCAGTACTACCCCTACTACTACTATCACTACTACACCACTACTACTACTACGACTACTACTACTACTACTACTACTACTACGACTACTACTACTACTACTACTACTACTACTACTACTACTACTACTACTACTACTACGACTACGATTACTATTACTACTACTACTACTACTACTACTACTACTACTACTACTACTACTACTACGACTACGACTACGACTACTACTACTACTACTACTACTACTACTACTACGACTGCTGCTTCTACGATCACGATGTCTACTATTACTTCTAGTAATACTGCGAGTACTACCACCATTACTAGTACTACTACTAGAACACTACTGGTACGTTCACTATTACTACTACTTCTACGACTACTACTATAACTACTACTGCTAATACTCCTAGTACTACTCCCACTACTACTACTAACACTATTGTTACTACTACTACGACTACTACTACTATTCCTACCACGGCTACTACTGCTACTACCACGGCTACTACTACTACTACTACTACTACTACTACTACTACTACTACTACTACTTCTACTACGACGACGACGACGACGACTCTACTACTACAGCTACAACAGCTACTACTACTACTACTACTACCATTAATTCTACTACGGCTGCTACTACTACGACTACTACTATTATTGCGATTACTACATTTGTAATACTGCTGCGTCTGCTACTTCTGTTAACACTACTACAACTACGACATAATTTCGACTACGACGATAAACCAGAACATTATTTTACCTAACAGCGAAGATTGATAGGTTTCTAGTGGTGTCAAAAGAGAGCATCTGATGACTCAGAAGGGAGGTCTGGGCGGCATCCGGACAGCGAAGGCCGGGCTCAGGGCCGGGCTCGTTTTAAGCAAACAGTCACACACTTCGTGCTCTTCGACCTCCCAGAACTCCATTCCGGGGCCACATTTTGAATGCCCGAAGCCAGCCGTAGGCCACTTCGTGCTCTACGACTTCCCAAAACTCCATTCCCGGGCCACATTTTGGATGCCCGGAGCCAACTGTAGGCCACTTCGTGCTCTTCGCCCAGAACTCAGTTCCCGGGCCACATTTTGGATGCCCGGAGCCAACTGTAGGCCACTTCGTGCTCTTGGACTTCCCAGAACACCATTACCGGGCCACATTTTGAATGCCCGGAGCCAACTATAGGCCACTTCGTGCTCTTCGAGTTCCCAGAAGTCCATTCCTGGGCATGATTTTGAATGCCCGGAGCCAACTATAGGCCACTTCGTGCTCTTCGAGTTCCCAGTAGTCCCTTCCTGGGCATGATTTTGAATGCCCGGAGCCAACTGCAGGCCACTTCGTGTTCTTCGAGTTCCCAAAACTCCATTCCCAGGCCAGAATGCTGAGGCAGGCTGAGGCTGAGGCTGAGGCTGAGGCAGGCTGAGGCTGAGGCTGAGGCAGGCTGAGGCTGAGGCCGAGGCTGAAGGCAGACTGAGACTGAGGCTGAAGCAGGCTGAGGCTGAGGCTGAGGCTGATGCAGGCTGATGCTGAGGCAGGCTGACGCTGAGGCTCAGGCTGATGCAGGCTGAGGCTGAGGCAGGCTGAGGCTGAGGCTGAGGGCCTGAGGCTGAGGCTGAGGCTGAGAGGCTGAGGCTGAGGCTGAGGCTGAGGCTGAGGCTGAGGCTGAGGCTGATGCAGGCTGAGGCTGAGGCAGGCTGAGGCTGAGGCCGAGGCTGAAGGCAGGCTGAGGCTGAGGCTGCTGAGGCTGAGGCTGAGGCTGAGGCAGGCTGAGGCTGAGGCTGAGGCTGAGGCTGAGGCTGAGGCTGAGGCAGGCTGAGGCTGAGGCCGAGGCTGAAGGCAGACTGAGGCTGAGGCTGAGGCTGAGGCTGAGGCTGAGGCTGAGGCTGAGGCTGAGGCTGAGGCAGGCTGATGCTGAGGCTGAGGCTGAGGCTGAGGCTGATGCAGGCTGAGGCTGAGGCAGGCTGAGGCTGAGGCCGAGGCTGAAGGCAGACTGAGGCTGAGGCTGAAGCAGGCTGAGGCTGAGGCTGAGGCAGGCTGAGGCTGAGGCTGAGGCAGGCTGATGCTGAGGCAGGCTGAGGCTGAGGCTGAGGCTGATGCAGGCTGAGGCTGAGGCAGGCTGAGGCTGAGGCCGAGGCTGAAGGCAGACTGAGGCTGAGGCCGAAGCAGCCTGAGGCTGCGGCTGAGGCAGGCTGAGGCTGAGGCTGAGGCAGGCTGAGGCTGAGCTGAGGCAGGCTGAGGCTGAGGCTGAGGCTGATGCAGGGTGAGGCTGAGGCTGGCTGAGGCTGAGGCCGAGGCTGAAGGCAGCTGAGGCTGAGGCTGAGGCAGGCTGAGGCTGAGGCTGAGGCAGGCTGAGGCTGAGGCTGAGGCAGGCTGACGCTGAGGCAGGCTGAGGCTGAGGCTGTGACTGCGACTGCCGTTGCCACTGCGACTGTCATCGCGAATGCGAGTGCGACTGCGAGAACAGCAGAATTCTACAACTGGATTCTCATCTGAATCTTAAGGGGAATGCTTCCAGATATGCTCCTACACATCGCTGGTAGGTTGCTTTGCAGGGATAATTGTATTACTAATCATGCTACTGCTAATGTGTTGTTCTGCTACTACTGCTGCTACTACTACTACTGCTACGATGACTGTCATTTCTTTGATAACGCTACTACCATTACTACTGCTACTACTGCCACTACTATTACTACTACTACTACTACTACTACTACTACTTCTACTACTACTACTACTACTACTACTACTACTACTACTACTACTACTACTGCTACTGCTGCTGCTGCTGCTACTACTACTACTACTACTACTACTACTACTAGTAGTATTTTATGATAACTGCTACTATCTCTACTGCTACGCCTGCTGCTACTACGCGTACCGCGACCACCACAACTACTGCTACTACGTCGACGGCGACTACTACTACTACCACTACTACTACAAGTACAACTACTACTACTACTACTACTACTACTACTACTACTACTACTACTACTACTACTACTACCACTACCACTACTACTACTACTACTACTACTACGACTACGACTACGACTACTACTACTACTACTACTACTACTACTACTACTACTCCTACAGCCACTACCACTACTACTACTACTACTACGACTACTATTGTTAGTACTACTATTACTTCTACTGCTCTTTCCACTACTACCACTACAACTGCTACGATAACAGCTACACCGCTACTACCACCACTACTGATATTACTATTACGACTAGTATTATTGCTTTTACCTCTACTACCACCACTACTATTACTACTATTCGTATTACTTTTACTACTGCTACGAATACTACTACTACTACACTACTATTACGACTACTGCTACTACTAGGGCTATCACAGCCACTACTGCTAGTACCAGACTGCTACTAGTACTGCTGCTGCTACGATGACTTTTAGGATTACTTTACGAATATTACACTCGTGCAGCTGCTACTGCTGCTACTACTACTATTAAGATTACAATACTATTACTAATGCGATTACTACGACTATTCCTGCTACTGCCATTACTGTTTCCATAGAACGCTGCTACGACGACTACTACTACTTCTGTTACGACTGCTGCGACTACTACTGCCGCGGCTACGACTAGGACTACTACTACTACTACTACTACTACTACTACTACTACTACTGTTACCATACTACTACGACTACTACTACTACTACTACGACTACTACTACTACTACTACTACTACTACTACTACTACGACTACTGCTACTACTGTGTCTGCTTCAACTTTTACTACTACTATTGCTTCTAGTACTATTACTACGACGACTACAACTAAGCGGCTACGACTACACTAGCATTGCTACTATGTTTGCTACTATTACCTTTACTACTACTACTGCTACTACTACTACCACAGCTGCTACAACGACTACGACTACTGCTGCTACTGCTACTACTGCTACTACAACGATTACTACTACCACGACCACTAACTACTTCTATTATTACTACTACTACAATTGCCACTTCTGCTACGACTGCCACTACTACTATGACTACTACTGCTACGAACAATACTACCACTACTGTTACTACCACTAGTACACTAATTCTGCCACCGCTATTATTACTACTACTACCACTACTACTACTACTACTGCTACTACCGGTGTTGCTACTACGACTACCACTACTACTACTGCCACCACCCCTGCTATTACTTTAACGACTACTACTATTACTACTACTACTACTATCACTACGTCTACTTCTACTACTGCGACTACGACTACGACTTGTACTAGTACTACTACCACCACCACTACTACTAATACTACTACTACTACGACTGCTACCTACTACTACTACTACTACTACTACTACTACTACTACTACTATTACGGCTACTACTCTACTACTAGTAACTACAACTACTACTACTACTACTACTACTACTACGACTACTACTACTACTACTACTACTACTACTACTACTACTACTACTACTATTACTATTATACTACTACTACTACTACTACACTACTACTACCTAATACCTACTACTACTACTACTACTACTACACGACTACTACTACTACTACTACTACTACTACTACGACTACTACTACTACTACTACGACACGACTACTACTACTACTACTACTACTACTACTACACTACCACTACTACTACTACTACTACTACTACTACTACTCTGCTACTACTACTACTACTACCACTGCTACTACTACTACTACTACTACTGTTCTTCTACTACTACTAGTACTACTACTACTACTACTACTACACTACTACTACTACTACACTACTACTACTACTACTACTACTAACTACTACTACTACTACTCTAACTAAACTACTACTCTACTACGACTACGACGACGACGACTACTACTCTTACTACTACTCTTACTACTACTACTACTAGTACTAGTACTACTACAACTTTCTACTACTACTACATTATTTTTACTACTACTACGACTACTACTACTACTAACTACGACTACTACTACTACTACTACTAACTACTACTACTACTACTCTACTACTACTACTACTACACTACTACTGTACTACTACTACTACTACTACTACTACTACTGCTACTACTACTACTACTACTACTACTACTACTACCACTACTACTACTACTACTACTACTACTGCTGCTGCTACTACTACTACTACTACTACTACTACTACTGTTACTTCTACTTCCACTCTACTACTACGACTGCTACTACCACTCCTGCTGCCCCTTCTCCTCCTCCTCCTCCCTCTCGCCCTCCTTCTCCCCCCCTTCCTCGTGAATGCCGCCCGTGCGGCGCATAGCCGCGGCCAAGGTCGGCGACGCGTAAGAGTCAAGCAGTGATGAAGCGTCCGCTTGCCTGTGGGGCCACCATGTTCTAAAGACCTTTTGTGGTCTGCACGAAACGTTCTGGGAGTTCAGTAAAAAAACAAACTAAGGCGGCAGGCCTGGCCTCAGCCTCGGGGACCTTCTCGCCAGTCGTAGGTTTAGAAGTCCTTGTTTAAGTCCATGCCCTGCGGTCATCGCGCGAGCGATGCTCGACATTCTAATTCAAAGAAGGGTCACGGCGACGACGTTCTGCTGGTGGTCGTGGTGGTGGTTGCGCTGGGGGGTTGTGCTGGGGGGTTGTGCCGGGGGGTTGTGCTGGGGGGTTGTGCTGGGGGGTTGTGCTGGGAGTTTTGTGCTGGGGGGTTGTGCTGAGCGAGGGGATTGTGCTGGGGGGGGTTGTGCATGGGGGGTCAGACCGGGTGTTGTGCTGGGGGTTGTGCTGGGGGTTGTGCTGGAGGGTTGTGCTGTGGGGTTGCGCTGCGGGGTTGTGCTGTGGGTTTGTGCGGTCGTGTTGGGGGGTTGTGCTGGGAGGGGCGCTGGGGCTTGCATCGTTTTCCGGAGTCGTTTTCTGGGCAGTTTTTTTGTCCGAAGCTCCTTTGAAGCTCTTCCTGGGCTTTTGCGAAGCTCCATTTCTCGAACTTGCAAGCTCCCCCCACGTCCATTCCAGCGTCCACAAGCCCCAGCACAACCCCCAGCACAACCCCTCAGCACACCCCCAGCACAACTCCCCAGCACAAACTCCCTAGCACAACCCCCCAGCACAACACCCGAGCACAAAACCCCCGGCACATCCCCCAGCCCAACCCCCCAGCACAACCCCCCAGCACGACCCCCCAGCGCAACCCCCCAGCACAACTCCCCAGCACAACCCTTCAGCACAATCCCCCAGCACACCCCCTAGCACAACCCCCCAGCACAACTCTCCCCTACACAACCCCCCAGCACAACCCCTCAGCACAACCAGCACAGCCCCCCAGCACAACCCCCCAGCACAACCCCCCAGCGCAACCACCCAGCAAATGCCCCAGCACAACCCCCCAACACAACCTTCCAGCACGACCCTTCAGCACACCACCAGCAAAACCCCCAGGACAACTCCCCGAGGCGAGCGAGGAGGAGAGAGAGAAAGACAGAGAGGAGAGAGCAGGTGCAAGGATGGGGAGGAGGAACCAGAGGAGAGCGCGCAGCCCTGAGAGACCTGCGCGCTGGCCCCGAACGGAGAATTGCAGGATTTGCGGAGGGCCCGTGACGGGCTCCTCCGCGGTTTCGTATGGGTTCCCTTGTATGTGGTGCGCCCGGTCGGACTTGCGGCCGCCGCAAACAGAAGCAGGCAGCGGAGGCGCAGGCGAAGGAGGGGGGGCGGGCTCTCTGGGGAGTTACGTGCCTTCGCAAGGCCCTCGCGGGACCCGGGGCCACCCCGGGACACTGATTGACTCGGTGCGGCAGGGGAAGAGCGAGGAAGCCAACAACACTGAAGCGCCTGCTGTGCTTGTTCGCCGGTTTGCCTCCCGGCCAGCTGGGCCGCCGCCAACCCTGTCTCTGGTCTGCACCCGTGCTCGCCCACGGTCCGGGGCTCCCCGGAAGGAGGTTTGCCGCGCGCTCGACGGGGCCGTCGGAAGGGTCAACAGCGTGCGGCGTTGCGAGGTGGTGCGCGAAGGGGGCCTCTACGGGTTCTTCGAGTTTGCGGACTCACAGCTCGCGGAGGCAGCCCTGGACGCGTGCAGCAAAGGCACGCTGATCATGCGCGACCACACGAAGAAGAAGTGGTTCCTCCACGCCAGACCCCCATGGTCCGCAGGCCATCCCAGGGTCCACAGGGCCAAGGGTTAGATCGGGGGAGTCTTGATCACATGTCAGACACGGTTCTGGCCTAAAATCTTGTGAACACCTTCCCTTGGAATCTCCAGCTGCAGTGCTGGAGCCCCCTCAGGTCTCTAAAGTAGATCCCCCTGGCTAAATTCCGAGGCGGTGATTGATACATGACCACCGCATGGAGGGTCAGTTTACGGAGCCTCGGCAGGCGGTGGATATGGACATATTCGGGCCCTCAAGGGCCGAGATGTATCCATATCCGCCGCCCGCTGGGGCACCAGGACGTCGGTTCCCAGGCGGTGGATATGGAGAAATCCCCGCCTTGCAGAAATCTCCAGGCCCAATCATCACCGAAGTCTCTTGGAAATCTCCCGGACCCTACACGGGGCCGAGTCGACGAGCACGAGAAGCGAAGGCCACGAGAGGGCCGCGAGAAGGGCCGCACGGGCCTGCCTGCCTCTGCTGAGCTCTCTTCGGCCCTGGGGGGGGCGCGCTCGGCCAACTCCCCACCCCCACCGCCCCTCCCCCCTGGCGTGGAGGAGGAATGGCAGGGGGAGGGGAGGGAGCAGAGCAGGAGGAGGAGGAGGAGGAGGAAGAGGAGGAGGAGGGAGGATGAGGAGGAGGGAGGAGGAGGAGGAGGGAGGAGGGGGGAGGGGGAAGGAGGGAGGATGAGGAGGAGGAGGATGAGGAGGAGGAGGAGGAGAAGGAGCGAGGAGGATGGAGGAGGGAGAAAGGACGAGGAGAGAGGAGGGAAGGAGGACCAGGAGGATGAGGAGTAGGAGGAGGGAGAACGCCACAATCGTAGGATTCTGGTTTGGTCAACGTAAAAGAGGGGGAGGAAGAGGAGGAGAAAGAAGAGGAGGATGGACAACGGATTATCATGATGATGGAGGAGGAGGAGGAGAAAGAAGCTGCGAGGAGTGAGGAGGGGGAGGAGGAGACGGAGGACGAGGAGCGGGAGGAGGGAGAGGAGGATGAGGAGAAGGAGGAGGGAGGAGGAGCTACCCCACTCCTTCCAAGAACACCTCCCCGCCGGCCCGCGGGGTGCCCCTGCGGACCGTGGCGCCAGCCGCTCCCGCCGCGCCATCGGCGGCGGCCCGCCCGCGGGCCGTCGCGGGAGGACCCGCAGCACCTCCGACGCCTCGACGGCGCTGCCGGCCAGCAGGTGCTCGTCACCCTTCGGGGATCTCCCAAACGGGGTGAGGGGGGTCATCCCTCTCCTCCTCCTCCTCCTCCTGATCCTCCTCCTCCTCCTCCTCTCTCCTCCGCCTCCTCCTCCTCCTCCTCCTCCCCCTGCTCCTCCTCCTCCTCTTCGTCCTCCTCCTCCTCCTCGTCCTCAACCTCCTTCCCCCCTCCAACTTCTTGTGTCGGTGGTGGAGAACAGGCCCATCAACTTCGGGGCCCCCAAATGGGGTGGTGACCACACCGTGCGGTGAGTCGGTGGGGATTCGGGGTCACCGCACGGTTTGGGGGCTTGGGTCCCTCACCGAGGACGACTCGGACGACAGGGGCCTCGAGGGTCCCAAGGCCGTTCGGTGACGGACCGTGCGGTGAGGTCTCGTGGGGTTCCGAGGTCACCGCACGGTCTGTCACCGCACTGTTTCGGGGCTCCAAAACGTTCGGACCGAGGTATAAGATTGAGGTCGGGTCGGGGAGGGTACTATACTTTTCTTCGTGTGGGTTGGATGCTCTTGTGCATCCTGGGGTGGTTTGGCCTGCGGAGGGTCTCATGTTCTTGGAGGGTGTTCTTTTGCCTTCGGTCCGGCCGTGGATTCGGAGGAGGTGGAGGTACCAAATTCGATACCCCTCCCTAGGAGTTCACCCCAGGAGTTGTCCTGGCAGTAGCGGCATGGGTACCTCTTGATGCCCCCATCGGTGGGGTCGGAGGATCGTGCCGCATCGGCGATGCATTGCCGATGCGGCTCGATGCGCAGCACGATTTGCTCCATGCCGACGTCGCCAGCGCGTCGCCGTTGCATCGGCGATGCGGCGCGAGCATCCGACCCTCATTTGCTCCGTCCCCGTCCAGGAGGCCTCTAAGTCACGCAGAGCCCAGATCTGCGAGGAGTCCTGGGTCTCGTAGGGCCCCCAGGCATGGACCCGCGACGCAAAACTGCCCCCAGGGAAGGGATCGGGAGGTCTGATGGGGCCGTGGACTGAATGAATCATATCGGAGGATACTTTGTAAGATGATGGGGTCTGGAGGAAACTGGGGACGGCAGGTTCGCGTCGTGCCGACTGGCGGCGACCCCACCGCCTGCATTTAAGGTTGAACGCGCCCGTAGCCCAGAATCGGCCCGTCGTTGAACGATCCGGCGTTCACGGAACGTCCGATCGTTCAAGTTTGAACGATCCCCGCGGCGTCGGGAACCAATGCGTGGGTCGACACGACGTGAGCTTGCTGTATTGCGCCCCCTCCCTCGTGTTCGCCTTTTTGGGCCTCCCATCACCACGGCTGGGTTCGCCTCGAGAGTTTGGCCAGAGCACAGGACGCACTTCTGGGGAGGTCCCCGGGAGCGGCGGTATCCGTGTATTCTGAGCTGTCGGCCTCCATGCTTGGCATCGCTCGAACGTGTGCATTTTTCCTTCGGCGAGGACCATCGAGGAGCATCCTTGATCATTTGGCGAAAAAACCACGCACGCAACCGGACAAAACACAGGGAATGGACGTCCGAGCGACGGCCAGTTTGGGGCTTGGTGAAAAACGTGTCCCGGGCGGAGCCCTGCGGTCCAAGACCCGTTTCCTCTCCGACTCTTTTGCCGCCATGGCGAAGGTGCATTTCGGAGGCGACGGCTTCCGAAGCTGGTGGTGAGTCTCCTCTCTGAGCGCCCCTCTGTCTATCCCTCCTCCCCCTCCTCCACCTCCTCCACACGGGCGCCCTGTTGGTGGCCGTGGTCGTGATCTTGCCGTCCGCATGCTCCTCCTGGTCATCCGTCGGGCATATCCCTCTACAGGGGGAATACTCAAAAATTGTCAAACGTGGTCTGGGGACTTTTTGGGGGAGTACAGTCAAACACCCTAAAAAGGACGCGCGGCTTTGCTCAGGGTACCCATGCGTCCTTTGTTATTCCTTGCTCTTGCCTCCTTGGGGTTTTCGTCGGCCGCCGCCCCAAAAATCCCAACGTCGGCTTCCAAGGGTCTTGCGTCCTTACCGCGCGTCCTTATTAGGGTTTTTGACTGTATTCTAGAACATTGTTCCAACACTTGTTCCCAGTCCTGCGTGGTTGGGTGTTCGTTTTGAATAGAGCACTGCGGTCGCGTTCTCCTTTCGCCTCCCGCCTCCCGCCTCCTGCCTCCCGCCTCCCGCCCCCCCTCCTTGTTTCCTCTTGCCTTGCCTGGTCCAGCGGAGTGAGGCACAGCGCGGATCTGAGCGGGACCTTCCCGTCCCTGGGGGGCTGCGATCTGCGACATTGTCGCCCATTTCGAGGGCTGCTGGTGGGTCCAACAGAGTGAGGCACCGCGCGTATCTGAGCGGGACCTCCCCGTCCCTGGGGGGCTGCGATCTGCGAATGTATCGCCACTTTCGAAGGCTGCTGGTGGGTCCAACGGAGTGAGGCACCGCGCGGATTTGAGCGAGACTTCCCCGTCCTTGGGGGGCTGCGATCTGCGAACATATCGCCACTTTCGAGGGTTGCTGGTGGGTCCAGCGGAGCGAAGCACCGCACGGATCTGACCGGGACTTCCCGTTTTTGGGGGGGCTGCGATTTGCGAAATTGTCGCCATTTTCGAGGGCTGCTGGGGGGTCCAGCGGAGTGAGGCACCGCGCGGATCTGAGCGGGACCTCCCCGTTCCTGGGAGTCAGCGATCTGCGAACATATCGCCACTTTCGAGGGCTGCTGGTGGGCTCGCCACTTTCGAGGGTTGCTGGTGGGTCCCGCGGAGTGAGGCACTGCGCAGACTCTGAGCGGGACCTCCCCGCCCCTGGGGGGCTGCGATTTGCGAAATTGTCACAAGTTTCGAAAGTTGCTGATGGGTCGAGCGGAGTGGGGCACCGCGCGGATCTGAGCGGGACCTCCCCCCGTCCCTGGGGGGCTGCGTTCTGCGAAATTATCGTCACTTTCGAGGGCTGCTGGTGGGCTCGCCACTTTCGAAGGCTGCTGGTGGGTCCAGCAGGGTGAGGTTCTGCGCGGACCTGAGCGGGGCCTCGCCGTCCTTGGGGGGCCAGGTCATGTTGTTGCGTCCCCGCCGACGTTTCAAGACCCTTGCCCATCGTCTCCTTTTGGACCTTGCGTCTCCCTTAGTGACTCAGGGGTTCACTTAGTTACTCATCGTTTTTCCCTTGATTGGGGACCTGCGAAAGTTCCAAATGCCGCTCACAGACGTATATGCGTCCATGTCACGTCGCCGCCGTCTCGTCAAGTCTCCCAAGCTACTCCTGCCCCGCATTGCGCGGGTACGTCGCCAGGGTAATTGACTATTTTTCATTTGTCGTCCAAAGTCTGCCTGTAGGGGGGCACGCCCGACCTACTCCTTATCTCACCACCCACCGATCCGCCCCGACCCAACCCGAAAGCTCCAATTTGCCCTCCAGTCCCAGTAGGGGGTGGCGTCGGGGAACATTGAAAACACATATTGGAACCCGTACCCTCCCCAACCCGAAAATTGGGTCTCCGGGTTGGGTGGGGTGGTCTGGTAGGTAGTCATTGTCATCCTCCATTTGCCATTTGTGCTCTCTTGCCTCATCGACTTCAATGAAGGCGATGTGCAGTACTAAGTATGGTGGCGTGAATCACGCGCGGGTACGTCGCCAGGGTAATTGACTATTTTTCATTTGTCGTCCAAAGTCTGCCTGTAGGGGGGCACGCCCGACCTACTCCTTATCTCACCACCCACCGATCCGCCCCGACCCAACCCGAAAGCTCCAATTTGCCCTCCAGTCCCAGTAGGGGGTGGCGTCGGGGAACATTGAAAACACATATTGGAACCCGTACCCTCCCCAACCCGAAAATTGGGTCTCCGGGTTGGGTGGGGTGGTCTGGTAGGTAGTCATTGTCATCCTCCATTTGCCATTTGTGCTCTCTTGCCTCATCGACTTCAATGAAGGCGATGTGCAGTACTAAGTATGGTGGCGTGAATCACGCGACTTCTATGACATCGATGTGACTGACTGTGCTTAGTCGCGTGACTCACGCGACTAAATACTTGCTCCCCGCCGACATGTTGACGACGGACAGTGCGCAGGGGTCGCACCGCTTTTTGCATGTACGCCATATTCACTCCGAAATCTAGCCATCTGCAGGGTTGGATTTCCTCCGCAGGCTTCTTGCCTGGGGCCCCACGGCTCACAGAGTGTCGTGCGCAATTCGCGTGCTGCTTCCGAGTTACTCGGAGGCCCTTTCGTGCGCTTTTGACAAAGCCCCCCCCTGTCCCTCCTCTCTTCTCCCTCCTCTCCCCCCTCATCCGAGGGACGGCTTCAGAGGAATGGCTACTTGGCCCTTCTGCCTGCCAGTCATTGAGGCGGAGAGTGTGCGCACTCACGGGCCTCCCGAGTTCCTTGCGCCGCAGACGGTGCGCGGCCGCGGTGCGCGCGAGTTTTGACACTGCGCCGCCGTGGGCCGCGCGAGGCGCCGCACCGCTCTCCCTCGTCCTTCCCAGACCCCATCTCCTCCTCCTCCTATTCCTCCTCCTCTTCCCTCTCCTCCTCCTTCTCCTCCTCCTCCTTCCTCTCCTCTTCCCTCTCCTCCTACTCCTCCTACTCCTCTTCCCCTCCTCCTCCTCCTCCTCCTCCTCCTCGCCTGGAAAGCGCGACCGCCACTCTCTTTCGCTAAGGGCTTACATGCGTTTGCTGCCATTCGACTTGCGCCAGAGTGTCCAAGATTTGCTCCAGATGACCCTGGATGTTTTTGGACGAGCTTCGATGTATCTGGATTTGCTTCGAGGTGCTTGAATAGATCGCGATGTCTCTGGCTTGATCCTCGCAGGTCGATTGGCGAAACGTCGTCAACCCCTTAGGGACTGTTCCTCCCCAGTCCTCCTTCCCCTCCAGATCTCCAGCGCCTTGAACAGTTTTCTCGGCCCCCTGGGGACCTCTGTCGGGTCTGGGAGGTCGAGGAGGGATGGGAGTCGAGAGGCCCAGGAAAAAAGGGACAGGGGACGGTAGGTCTAGGGGCTCCGCTTAGAAGGACAGTGCTTGCCAGCGTGGACCCCGAGCAGAAGGGTGTTTATGGCACTAGCGGTGTGCAATCTGTGGTGCCGCATGCACGGAGCAAGGCGTGTGTTGCAAGCTCCGCGGTGCAGTGTGTGCGGTGCAGGCTGACACATGTAGTGCAAGCTGCGCGGTGTAAGCCGTGGTTGTTGAGCTTGTGTGGTGCAATCTACGTGGTGGAAGCCGTGCGGTGCAAGCTGTGTGCTCGGGACGCCGTGTGGTGAGAGCCCGGTGGTCCAATCGAAGTACGTGGCGCAAGCGGTGTGCCAGCCAGCACGTGAGAGCCCACGGGCGGACGCAAGGCGCCCACGAGGCGCCCACGGGTGGACGCTGCTCCTCCTCCTCCTCCTCCTCCTCCTCCTCCTCCTCCTCCTCCCTCCTGCCTCCTCCTCCCTCCTCCTGCCTCCTCCTCCCTCCTCCTCCCTCCTCCTCCCCTCTCTCCGCTACCACTCCGCTCCTCTCACCGCCACCCCCGCCCTCCCCCTGCCCTCTCGTCCCTCACCGCACCCTCCGGGGCAACACCCCACTCCCTCCCCCCTCTCCTCGCTGCGCCCCCACTCTCCTCCCCCTCTCTCCTCCTCCTCCTCCCCCCTGCTCTCCTCCTCCTCCTCCTCCTCCTCCTCCCTCCCTCCTCTCCTCCTCCTCCTCCTCCTCCCTCCTCCTCCTCCTCCTCCTCCTCCTCCTCCTCCTCCTCCTCCTCCTCCTCCTCCTCCTCCTCCTCCCACTCTGCCCACCTGGCGCCCACGAGGCGCCCGCGGGTGGGCAGCTGGCGAGACCCTGCAGCACCCATTCAATGTCCTAGGCCTAGGTCACCCATGTCAGAACCCTTAATGCGGGATGACGATGAATGATAAAATGGGAGAGAACGATTAAGAACACAGTTTTCTGTTATTTCTGCATAATTTTCGGACTGGAGGAGAACGATAGAAAATAGTTTTCCAGCCCGCGGCCGGTTTTTTCTAATCGTCATCCCGGGCGCCGCCGCGTGGACACGACCCCCGGTCATTTAATAATCGTCATCTTCCATTACATGCAAGCGCTCCAAACCGTTGACTTTTCTAAACGTGGCCCCTGGAAGCCCCGACCGTCCCCCCGGGGCCCCCCGTCCGATGCCGTGTTCCATTCATGGCAAAGTTAGCTGGAGTTGTCGAGCCCATGCCCCGGACCGACGTCATGTCGCGGGGTCGTCTCTCTAGGGGGGGGCGGGGTGAACCAAGAAAGCGCCGGGGCGAACCAGGGAATTCCGTCAGCGGAACACTGAATGCCGGAAACGAACCGGGGAACATGTCCCTGCTCGCGCTTCTTTGTTCAGCTTGCTACGTGGTGCCCCGTGTTTCAGTGGGGGCACATGCCAAGATACACCCTGCTTGCCTCCAGGGTGCCCTGGGTTTCTAAGGTTTCGATGGTTTTGCCACAGGAAGCGTGACGTGCCCACACCGAAAATCGATGGACGCCCTGGGGTCTCAGGGTTGGGTTTTTTGTGGAAGGTTTCTTGTGGACGGGCCCCTACTGTATCCGTTTCGTTGGCTCGCCCTGGTCCCTCTCAAATGCCCCCCCCCCTTCGGCCCGAGGCGGGGCGCGGCCCCTGGCAGGCGATGTCTCTATCCCAACCCCCGACTCTTCGACGAAAAATGAAGCGGCTAAGAAAAGGAGGGGAACCCTTGGATACACCCCCAGGGGGCTACTCGGACGCACCCCTATCGAGGATGGACGCCCCCCCTCGTGCATCCCAGGGTTGGGCCCCGAATGCTTGGTCCATCCGAAAACCCCACGTTGCCTGGGAACGGAACGGAACGGAACGCCTGTGCGGGCATGCGCCCGGGCCCCTTAAGGGCGAGGCGGGTGAGGCCATGGCCTCGCATGAGAAGCTGCGCGCGTCGGGGGTCTACTCAGGACAATGCGTACTTCGGGAGCTGATTTCCCGCAGTGCGTACTCAGGACAATGCGTTCTTCAGGACAATGCGTTCTTCTGGATGCCCGGGATAGGGGTCGTCATATCTCCCAGCAGCCCCCGGGGCCCGAGGCGGGAGGGGGCTCGGAGAGCGCCCCGCCGCGGCGCTCCGCGAGGCCGGGCGGCCTGGGCTGCCGCAGGGTCCCCCCTCCGCAGACATCCGGAGGGCCGCCCAGAGACTCTCGGGCCTCCTCCTCCTCCTCGTCCCCCTCCTCGTCCTCGTCCTCCTCCTCGTCGTCGTCGTCGTCCTCCTCCTCCTCCTCCTCCTCCTCCTCCTCCTCCTCCTCCTTACGGGGGATAGGAAAAGGGGAACAGGGTTCGGGCTGGACGAAAGGGGGTAATATTGGGAAAGGGGGGGTACGAAATCTGCTGCATGCAGTTGGTTGGGGCCTCACCCAGGGGCCCATTCCTCGATACATAGCCGCCTCCGGCGCCGGGAGGCGCCGGGAAAAATCAGCCACGTGAGCTGATTCCCCCCCCCCCTTTGCTATCCCCCCCATTCGCCCGACCCGAGACTCCGCCTGTGGAAGACGGTCAATGTCAAGCAGTGGCGAAGCGTCCTGGCGCGCCTGCAGTCCTACCGAACGATGCTCTCATAACCTTTTGTAGTTTCCACGAAATGTTCTCCGAACACTTCTGGCGGAGTCTGTCTTGGTTTGGCACATCGGGCTTCTGTTCTAAGCACATTGTTCTTTCTCGTGGAGCATTTTGGGGTTCTACGATCATGTTGTGGTAGGACTAGGAATGCTCACCCAAGGTCCCTGCTCACCAATGGAGAGGAGGCATGTTGTCAAATAGTTCCCAGCTGTTTAAAACATGTCGAACACATGTTTGAAACGTGTGTTTTATACCGTTTGAAAACATCAAACATGCACATGCTCAATACAATGATGGGGCTGTTAGAGTGTCCAGTGTCGTGGCATCCACAAAACGATGCTTGATCCTCTGGCGCGCAGCGGTAATTTGGACAATTTGTGGGGCACCAGGATTCACTCTCCGACTCCCCTCCCGTCTCTGGCCGTCTCTAACTGGCCGACAGGCTGGCCGACTGGCCGACTGTGGAGTCGGACAATTCTTTCTGGTGCCGCAAACTTGTCCTTCTCCCCTGGGTGGGCCTCGGACAGGGATGATCCGTTCAAGCGCGTGCCGGAGCGCCCTCGGAGCGCTCCGGGACGCTCTGAGAAGGCCGCGGCGCTCGATGTTTCCTGCCAAACCGCCGGAGCTCAGAGGTTCTCGATGTATCCTCGCCCGATGTTATCTTCATCCTGGCTTCGTCTTAGGGCCCCCCCCCAGACCGGGGTGATGGTGGCGATCCGCGTGCCCCACCCCGGCCTAAGCGTTACGTCACCCGCCCGCCCCCCCGGCAGTGAGCGACCGCTACGCGGAAGCAGTAAAGCATCATATTCTGCAGTCGTCGGGAGGTCCGCGGAGGAGCTCGGAGGTCTCCAGAGGCCTCAGACCTGTTCTAGGAGGCGTCTGGGCGCCCAGTAAGGCCAAAGGAGCTTGAAGACTTCGATCCTCCTCGTCAATTGTCCGTCATCGTCTTTGTCGTCGTCGTCATCGTCATCGTCGCCGTCGTCGCCGGCGTCGACGTTGGCGTCGACGTCGGCGTCGGTGTCGGCGTTGGTGTCGGCATCGGCGTCGGCGTCGTCGTCCGTTGTCACCGTCATCGTCGTCGTCCGTCGTCGTCCCAGAGCTCTGGCGTGTTGAACAGATTCATGCTGATGTGCGCCGCGCTGCTGCGCCAGGGCCGTGACCCCATCAGTGCGCCAGGGCCGTCCAAGAACGACTCCTGATGGAAACCTGGCCTCGGGGAAGCGGGAAAGGGTCGGGACTTCTCCAGGGTTTCCGATGTTCCAACCTAATTTAGCCTTTATCACCATAAAGAAATTCGAGCACCAACAAATACCGAAACTCTATGATTTTCACGTGTCGGGCCCTGGGAGACACTCGCCGGACATTGTTTCGACACTCTTTCGACACTTTCCCTCGTGCTCGAAATTATTTCTGGGATGTGGCCCTTGAGTACGATGGGAGCAACACAGCTCCAGGGACCCGCCCCGCATCGAAATAATCGATGCATCGGGCATCCGGGTTCTTGAGCCTCGATCCAAAAACGCCCTTGCGAGCGCCATCATCGCCGATCCACGAGCGTCCAGGGGTGCCCCTGGCCCAAAGGTGTCCGCGGCCTCCAGAGCTGATGGGCCTGTTTTCCACCACCTTCAGAAGTTGGAGGGGGGAATGAGGAGGAGGATGAGGAGGAGGACGAACTGGGGGAGGAGGAGGAGGAAGAGGAGGAGGGGGAGGAGGAAGACCCCCTCCCCCTCCAACTTATGGTGGTGGTGGTGGTGGTGGAAGACAAGGCCATCAAGAGCACCCCCCCTTACCAGGCCGAGAGGCCCCCCCCTGGGCTGCACAGCGGCGTGGCGCGAGGGGAGCACGTCGGGCCAGGCGCACCTGCGGCGGCCCTGGGCCGTGCCACCTCCGGCGGTCCCCCGCGTCACCCGCACCCCGTCTTCGGCACGAGGAAGATCGGC